CTTCACCCCGCAGCGGACAAGTCCTCGGCCGCCGATGCTTTGAGGCTCGGATCTGCGCCTGCCCAGGCCGGGATCGCAAAGCGGACGAAGACAGCATTCGGAAACAACAGGTCTCCGACGGCACAAAGAACGGTGATGGTACGAAGCGCCGTAAGTAGCACAGGAGCAGCCGCCTTCACAACAGCGTTTCTCAAAGCTGGCCCCTTGAAGATGGGTGGACTACAACTCCCAGAATCCCTTGGCACCGAACGCACTCCTTTTGACGTGTATCTCTCACTGTGACCTGCTTACTCTCTTGTAATCCCTTCCTCTGCAATCTCTCCAGTCTAGCAGATGGGAGAAAGAAAAGATAAAAAACCCCAGGCGTAGCTGGCTAGGGCAGTGGTTCTCAACCTGTAGGTCGGGACCCCATTTGGGGTCGATCGACCATTTCACGGGGGTCGCCAAGCAAGGCTGTCCGCCATTTTTTTTGTCCGCCATTTTTTTTCCCCTTTTCCGGCGGGTGCCTTACCTCCCTTGGGCTGGGCCAGCTGGTGGTCGGCCTGCTCCGTCTCTGCCGCTTGCCAGCTACGCCTCGGCCGGTGCAGGGGGCGGAACCACGCATGCGCGGCGCTCCCGGGCAGGGAAAGTCCTCGACTTACGACCAGTTGGGTAGTCCTCGACTTAGGACCGGTTTAGTCCTCGACTTACGACCGGTTTAGTCCTCGACTTACGACCAGTTTAGTCCTCGACTTACGACCGGTTGGGGTCGCGGCATTAAAAAGGTTGAGAACCACTGGGCTAGGGAATTGTGGGAGTTGAAGTCCACCCATCTTCAAGGGGCCAGCTTTGAAATACACTGATTTAGGAGAAGGTCAGCTTTTTTGACTTGGTTAAGCAGATTTCACTAACCTGGTTTGTCCCGCCTCACAACCCGGAGAAACGCCGTTCTCCACAGGCTTTGTGGCTGGTTCACAGGACCTGCTTGACCAAGTCAGGCTGGGCCCAGATAGCTGCAGTTCTGCCTGGCTAAATGTTTCTTGGCTGACCTCCTTCCCCCGTTTGAGTTGCTGGTGGTCCATCCGGTGCGTTTGGCCAAAAGTGGACTGCAAAGCCATTCCCTAACCAAGTTAAGCGTGTGTGTGAATGCACCCTCGCGTGTCAGCCCGACGAGAGGTTAGAAGGCCCACACCCAGCCGAACTTGTAGAATTGTGTGGAACAAGCAACAATTAACTGGAGTGAAATGCTGAATGATAACAGCATCAATCAAGAGGCAAGGTAAACATCGCCCTGCTTGTAACAGAGCCAACTTCCTTATCAGAAGAAAAAAATAAATAAATACCTGTGGTTTGAAATGGACTTTTTTTTTTTTTTTTTTTTTAAAAAGCAACAACACAAGTTACGGTGTCAATCAGGCCCGACAAATGTTAATGGAGCCTCCATTACTCAGGGCAGTCTACCTTTTATTACCAGTGACTAGATAATTTCCATCTTTCTGGGTTTCGAAATGGGCTTAGAAAAAGGAAAAAAACGAGCTACGGTGTCGGTTAGGCCTGACAGACCTTAGTAGAGCCTCCATCGGTCAGGGCAGTCTATCTCTTTATTACCACCGGCTGGGCAATTTCCATCTTTCCGGGTTTTAAAATGGACTTTAAACAAAAAAAACAAAACAAAAAAACAAGCTACCTCCATGTCAAGTAGGGCTGACAGATGTTAATGGAGCCTCCATTGGTCAGGGCAGTCTACCACTTATTACCGCTGGTTGAAATAATTTCCATCTTTTCCGGGGTTCCCCGAAAGCTTCTGGCGGGTGAAAGGAGAGACAAAGAGATGTGTTCCAGGCAGTCCTCCAATTACGACCGATTGCTTCGAAGTTATGACCGACCTCCCACCCAAAGGCACCGAGGACCTGGTTCTGGAGTCCTGACGGCCACCCCCAGCTCAGTCACATGACCACATTTTGGGCACTTGGCAACCGGCCCTCCATTTATGGCTGATCGCAGCATCTGGGGGGTCACGTGACCCTGATTTACATTTTTTTGGGGGGGGAAACTGGCCTTTACTTCCCATTTTTGGCCAGAACACCCAATAGCGAATAGTAAATTTGCTTAACAACCGCCGTGTTCGCTTAATGACTGCTGCAAAAAAAAGGTCGTAAAGTCAGGATAGTCACGGTTTGACCTGCTTTACAACTGTCTCGACTTACGACCATAATGGGCAGGCTCCATTGTGGTCGTAAGTTGAGGACTACCTGTAAGGATTTGATTATCTAGTGCAGGGGTTTCCAAACTTGGCCACTTTAAGACTTGTGGACTTCAACTCCCAGAATTCCCCAGCCAGCTATGCATTCCTTTTGATGTGTATATCCCCATTGTGGCTGGCTTATTCTCTTGCGAATCCCTTTCTCTGCAATCTTTCCCCTCCAGAGAATAGGAAAAAAAAAACAGGTCTGGCTGGTTGGGGAATTCTGGGAGCTGAAGTCCAAAATTCTTAAAAGTGGCCAAGTTTGGAAACCTCTGATCTAGTGGCAGACAACATTGGCAACCAGGTGGAACCGTTTTACTTTCACTTTGCTGGGAGTTGATCTCTGAGGAAGGCCTGGAATCCACGTGGCAACGGCGAGGAAGTTGGGCCAAGCCACCCATCTGCCAAGCCCTGGTGGGTTGTCCCTTTGTTTTCAAAAATCTTCTCCATAAGCTCCTCCAGCTGGAATCTGGTGCTGTAGAGAAGCCTGAAGCATCTAGAGTCTTGGAGAAGGTCCTCCATCTGGGTCAAGATGAATTCCTCTTTCCTGATGGACCCTTCAGTTGGCCAAGATCTTCTCTTGGTGGGCCTCCACGCTCTTTTTCTTTTCTAGAGTCTTGGAGAAGGTCCTCCATCTGGGTCAAGATGAGTTCCTCTTTCCTGATGGACACTTCAGTTGGCCAAGAACTTCTCCATGCTCTTGTTCTTTTCTAGAGTCTTGGAGAAGGTCCTCCATCTGGGCCAAGATGAGTTCCTCTTTCCTGATGGACACTTCAGTTGGCCAAGAGCTTCTCCATGCTCTTGTTCTTTTCTAGAGTCTTGGAGAAGGTCCTCCATCTGGGTCAAGATGAGTTCCTCTTTCCTGATGGACCCTTCAGTTGGCCAAGAACTTCTCTTGGTGGGCCTCCATGCTCTTGTTCATGTCTAGAGTCTTGGAGAAGGTCCTCCATCTGGGTCAAGACGAGTTCCTCTTTCCTGATGGACCCTTCCGTTGGCCAAGATCTTCTCTTGGTGGGCCTCCACGCTCTTGTTCGTTTCTAGCTTCAGGCGTGGACTCCGAATTGCAACAGCTTCCACGAATTGAGATGTCAAGTTGACTTTCCCTTGAGGCTGTTGGTTCACTTCCTTCTGTTTTCTCCTCGTCGGCAGCTTTCCGGCAGAGCACGCACAGCATCCAGATGACCTCGGTCAAGAAAAGACGCAACCCAGACGATGAACTCCTGTATCTCCCGGTAAGTAGGACCAGGACTTGTGTAAAAACGTGGAGGTGCTCACTTCCCTGTGGTTGGGAGGAGGACACCTTGAGGTTGTTTGGGCACCGGCAAAGCAACGAGAGCCCTTAGAAGTTGTGAGAACTTCTCATGTGCTTCTGAGTTTACTTTGGTGTCCAGAATCTAGGAAGGTTGGAAGCAAGACCCCCTTCCATGCACGGGGTCTCCAAAACATGGCATACCCCTTTCCTGACTGGAGACTTTGAAGGGAGGAAGGAATGAGCACTAGAGATTTGGGCTACGTACTCAAAGTGTAGTGTCTCCTGAGTTTTTGGACACGTTGAGCAAAACGCTTCTCCTCTCGGGAGCTAATCAGGGCCAGATCTGGTGAGATTTTGGATGGGAGACAAGCAGTAGCACTTATATACCGCTCCACAGTGCCTTACAGCCCCCTCTAAGCGGTTTTATAGGGTCAGCATATTGGCCCTCTCCCCCCCCCCCCACAATCTGGGACCCCAAACCATCTGGAAATCTCATGGCTATGTTGAGGAAGTCTAAAGAACATCCTTGGAGAAGGCAGGAGAGGACAATTTCCACAGGAGCACCAGAAAGACGGCGTAGATGTAGACGCGAGGTCTCCAGACTGAAAGAGAGTTCATCTGTTGAAGGTCCTTTTGGGATAGAAAAAGGAATATTTTGCGTTCAGAGTTGAACTGTGGGGTCCTGGGTGCTCTCTGAGCCCATGGGTGGTTTCGTTGCAGACGTTTCAGGACCCAACTAGGAAAAATCATCAGGGCTAGAAGGGAGGGGGGTTTGAGGAGAGGAGGAGGAGGAGGAGGACAACTACTACTACTATTACTGCTACTACTACTACTACTACTACGGGGTCCTTGGTGCTCTCTGAGCTTGGTAGTTTTCTTGCAGATGTTTCATGACCCGGCTAAAAAACATGAGTGCTAGAAAGGAGCGGGGCTTGTGGAGAGGAGGAGGAGGAGAAAAGAAAAAAAGAATGAAAGAAAGAAAAAAGAGAAAGAAAAAGGGAACGAAGGAAGGAAGGAGAGGGAAGAAGGCAGGGAAGGAAGGAAGGAAGGAAGGAAGGAAGGAAGGAAGGAAGGAAGGAAGGAAGGAAGGAAGGAAGGA